GGACAATGTGCGAGCAGGAGAAGCTTGCCGACTAAGCTCCTTTTGTGCTTTCTTTAGCTTTATTTTATATTGGCTTGAAATTTTCCCGCTCTTGTTACAGTCTATTACAACCTAAAAAAAAACTTAAGCTTTGCCAACAGCTTTGTTGTATGCCCCATAGATAATTTGCCTTACTGCTTCATCAAATAACATATACTGAAGTGCTTTAGGTAGTTAACTTTTCTATTCATATGAACGTTAGCTTGCTGGTTTTAGGTAGGAAACTTGGAAGATTCTGGTATATTTCATTGGGGATTTGGAAGTATCTGCTCTGGCAAATGTAATGTTTCTAGTAGCAGGGGTGAATCTTTGGCTTTTTGCAACTGTAGATTTACAGTTGCCCCAAGAAAGTACGTGCGGTTGGAGCAGAAAGCAACCATGACTGTGTGACCTTTGCAGGCAAAAGACGGGAGCGCCAAGGTTTGGTGGGAGGAGCTTATTCTTCGGTTGCATTTAGTCATAGGGTTTCACACCACCCAACTTGTCTTTGAAGGCTACTGTAGATCTACCCCTGACGTTTGCTGTAGCAGTAGGAGGCCTGGAATTCCTAGGAAACTCTCATTGTTGCTGTGCTTTTCAGCCCTCTGTAGGGTAAGCAAGTTAAATAGGAGTGAGCACACTAGGCGGATGCTGCAGGAGCCAGGCAACAGTGTACCTAAGTGCTCTTTGGAGATCCTTTCTTTTCGTTGTAAACAGAGCTAATGCCAGCCACTAACAACAGGTACATTTGCTGGATGAAGGCGGCAGCTATAAGCTGTGTGATCTTTATCAACAACAAACTGTGCAGTCTTTTGTGTGTGCTGTTCGTTGAAGTTTCGGGGCATCGTGTAATTATCTTGTTCTTTCTGTCATTCTTGTAGCCAATTTGCCAATTGTGTACATACTTTGTTTTATGTGACATTACATGAATCCATAAATTGCACTCACTCGTAAATGAAAAGTGGAGAATGTACCTTATATGTATGTCTTTTCTCGTCCTCCTTTCAGTTGGCCGTCTCGTTGGCTTGTCATAACACTGAGTACTTTTGCTCAGCAGCCGCTTTATCCAAGCCACTCTTTTGTTAGCAGTTGTTCTTTTGTCGTTGAAATTCTAGTCCCTGGAGTTTGTAAGAGTAAGGACAGCAGAAGGACAGTCACCGAGGGCTTTATTTCATATTGAACCTTCAACTGAAAAAGTGTCAAGTTCATTTGCTAACTTAAACATGTGCCAATTTCAATTTCAACTTCAGGGTTAATGAAGATACTTCTTTTTGATTTTGTCAGTATGCTTGTTTTATGACCTTTAAAACTACCTTTGTAGAAATAATATGAAAGTGTAAGTGGTAATTCAATGGAACTGTTAAGTTTTTTTTTTTTATTTCTCAAAAAGCGATTTAGTGTCAGAGTTAGGTGCAATAGCAGATTTTCTGGAAGAAGAAGCAGTATGAATCGTAACATTTAATCGCATTAAGCTATGAGAAAACTTCAAAGCACCTTTATGAAAAGAAATCATTGTACTTTTGTGTTTTGATGACTAGTAATACTGTTCCGATTGAAGAAAGTGGCACCAAATATTGATAATTAGGAGTGTAAAACGCGTCTAGTGATAGCTGATTCAAAGGTGTTGTGTCGAAGTTGAAGGTAAGAGTTCACCTTCGCAAGCACTTGCATTGCAGTAAAATGCTTAAGGATTAGTATGGATTGTGCAATTGAGTTTTGCAGTAATTTAGAGCAGCAGAAATACTTCTTTCATTGTTTGCTGATGCATGCAGGTATGTCGTAGTTTTACGTCTAGGGGTTGTGCCTTGCATCTCCTGTATTGCAGAAACCACTTGCACCCTCACTCCCTCCCCCCCCCGCACCAAATAATATTTTTTGAAAAAACAGCTTTTAATATTTCTTTGACATTGCTTTGATGTCCTCTTTCATTAAATCATAATGCAACTGTTGAAAAGATCAAATGAATGTTAAACTTGGGAGTTGGATGAAATAATGGAGATGTTGGTAATATCTGGTGCCACATTGATGCGAATTGACTAGTTTGCTTGAAGTTCTCCTGTTTTCTTCAGTGAAGTTTTATTTATCCTTTTTTTTGTGTCTGTTGGGCTTTGGTTTAACTATGATGTGCTGTTTTCTTTCTGTTTCAGGTGCCAATGGTACATTGGTTACCGAGTGTGAGATTTCATTGTCGAATCCTTACTATGGCAGCTGTATTGTTACGGGAGTCAAGTGCAAGATTATTAATGTGATGTGCTTTGATTTACACGTACGACAGTTGATAGGAACAAGCAGTTTAGAGCTTGAGAAGTTGCTACTCAATGGGTAGCAAACCGGGTGGCAACCGGGCAAGGACCTGGCTAACCTCCCTGCCTTCTCTCTTGTTGTTCTTCCTTCCTCCCATTGTAGAACTTAAAGCTGTCAACCTTATAAACTATTAGTTTGATGATGTAGCAAGCTGGCATCATCAGGACACTATGGCCCAGCCTCCGAACTGTGTAAATAATAGAAGTTTTAAGGCTTCTTCTTTTTTAGCTAACATCAACTATTTCTTAGTATGTCATTTTTTTCAGGGGCCTTACTTGTTAGTGTTAAGAATAATTAGAACAAGCTGTTGCTGTTTCAGTTACTCAGCTTCAACTTTTCTTCTTTTTTGGGGGGGGTGAGTTTTTTTCAGTGTGTCGTTTTTTGTACAAGTTGTTTTTTGTGCAGTAATGTGTTCTGAATTGCTGATACTTGTTGAGTGCAACAACTTTTGGCAAATATGTTGCATGGTGGCACTGACCACCTCATCATAGCTTCATTTAAGAAATTTTTAAAATTTTACCTATACTACTCGCATTATCTCATAACATAACCAGTAGCGAAATTGGTGTTGGCACATTTTTGTGCACAGAAGTATTGCATGTTATACTTCAACAGTTGCTTTAATGGGATTATAAGCAGAGTGGATTACCTGTATTTTAACATTCCTGTGTGCATCTTTATGTGTCTGTGCATATTCATTTCAAGCTGACACTTTTTTGCAAAACTAGGTTTAATTGGTTAAAATGCAAAAGAGGCGTAAATATCTGTGATGCCTTTGTTATGCAAGTGAATGAAACAAATTTAATATTGCAGGTGCTTTCGAGGCACTGCCAACTTTAAAAGTAATTGTTAAAGGTACTTGCACATTTTAATGGCTTACGAGAGGAAGTCATTCTTTTCTCATTGTGCACTGAAGTGATGAATGAAAAGCGAGCAGTACACGGGAAGCGTTGAGAACTTTGTGCTTATTTGTCTTTGCGTGTTTGAAGGCAAACTTTTATTCAGCTGAAGTGTCACTTGTGTAACCTGCGATTTGTGGGGACCAGTTTGTTGCCATAGTGCCTGCCTAATAGATCACCCTTAAAATGGAGAGTTGTTACACTATAAATGCCACTTGTGCACATTATTTGTAGAAAAGTTTTGCATGCTGTATTGCAACAAGGAGGGGAGGAGGCGATATATACAAGGGGTGCTTAAATGAAAAGTACGAAATGACACTGTGTATAAATGAAGAATTTATTCAAAGTATCCATTATGTGCCCGATCATAATTGTTTCATTAGCAAACAAGTTGAATTATTTCTTTTCAGGATTCCTGCGGCCATTATGATACCCAGTCCTCAACAGCGTCCTTGTGTTTGTCGTCAGAGTTTAAGCGCTTTTGTTTGAAATGATCACCAAAAGAATCAAACACGTGGAAATTGTAGGCGATGGATGGTGGCTGGTTCAATACCTTCCGCGGTCAGAAACCTAATAACTTTTTGCTGCTCTTTATGAGAGTCCCGGCTCTCCTGCGCATGCACGCGCCCCGGTGTGCTTTGATCCACGGCAGACTCTAGTCGCATGCCTAGGGGTCTCGCCACGTTCTGCCATGGTGGCACAGGAATCTGTGTTAACATTATGTTGTTACAACATTCGGTACTGTAGTGTTGTGCCGGCTACACGACAGGTACCTTTTCATTTGAACATTGTATTTATGGGTAACATCTTCTAGTAGAGGCACCATGGCCAAACCATGCATGGGAACTGTCGTGTCGTCACTGTCTTTATTACATTGCATCCTCATGGCGCCCGCCTCTGTAAACTGTCTCGTGAAAATGCGTTCTCTTGGCTGCTGAACACGAGGTTATGGCTTCAACTTGCAGATGTTTCAGCTGCATTTTGATAGTGATTGTTTCTGTGTGTTGTGTCGTTGATGAACATCTACAAAATTTTCAGAGGGCTAAGATAATTTGGAGCTTCACACAGCTGCGTTTGTCACAGTTCCAGCATGTGCTGGGGCTGTGAACCTTATTGTTTGTATCTTCTGTGTGGATTTGTAATGTCTTTTATATTTGTGTTTCAATGTGCTCCAATGCAAACTCTTTCTCGAGAGCTTGAACTCTTGCAATGTTGGTGCATTTCAGACTGTATTTTGTGTGTTGTACTTATTTTCTTATGTGACACTGTACTGTCAGCCTTATTAGCTTTTTTTGTACTAATTTCACTCTTGTTGACAGTCACCTGCATGTGCCTGCTGTATTCATAGGTTAGCAAAGAAAACTTGAACTCACTCGAACTAAGACTCGCCAAAATTTTCCTGAGCCGGACTAGCCGAAACGTCACTCATCTGGACTCACTCCGACTCGGACTTATGTTTCGATCCGAGTCGGAGCAAGTTCGAGCGAGTTCGCTGATGAGTAATTTTGCCAACCTATCTTTAAAACTACTTGCTACAGGAGGTGTAAAAATGTTACGTTAGTATTTTTATACTTTTACAATTGCTGTGCTGTGCCAAAGTAGCTTTGTTCTGGTTCAAAAGTTGACGAGTCAGTCTCTTAAGTGAGCAATCACTCAGTGCATACGTGCAATCCTCTCACACATAAAAGCAGTCACTGCTACAGTGTGCTTACGGTGAGTGCGTTTTAAGGCAGTTGATATCTTTAGTGAGTGCTGCATTCTTTTCTGAGGCCTAAAGCAATGGAAATTTCGCGCAGGCAGTTAAGGATTAAAATCTAGGCTTCTGTGTGCTCTTCTCTCAGTGCCAAAATCATTCATTACAAAATTGCTAAATGTCTCTTTCCACTGCCATGTTAACTTGCGGCAGTTTCGAATTTATAACTTGTTGACAGTTTGCCAACACAGCTTTGATACTGTTGGACTTGCAAACCTCACTTACCAAGCTATATTTATGGTTTTCGTTTCATGAATGCAGTGAAGTCTGAAGGTGAGGGTGACATTGAAGTATGGCACATCACGGAAGCGGACTTCATGGAGGCCATTGGTTTTGATGGCTGCACCTCAAATGGTATCTTCAAATTTGTTCATTCATTTGTTTATTCACGTTTAGTGCTTGTGAACAGCGAAGGGCCTATAGCGGTGCTCTTTGTCAAAATCGCGTATTAGACTAAACATAAATTTTAAACGAAAGCTAGTTAAAGGCCATGTGTACAAAAAACAAAAAGATATGCAAATGTAGACTGTTTTGTGGGCTAAAGGATGAGCGATGCGGCTTAGGCAGCTTGCATCGAGAAAGTTAAAAAATGCACGAATGGGGCAGTCCTGTTTTTAATGTGGAATGCAAGATCTGCAGTTGAGCTGTAGTGTGAAACGAGACTGTGTACAGTTTTAATGAAAATAGCAAGCCAAAATATGCGGTATGGCATTTAATGGCCAATTGTGTTGTTTATGCTGTCTCGGGCATTTTTAAGACTCGGGCTGTAAGTAGTTCGTGAAGTTCTGCCGGCACTAGACGAGCGCATTTCTTTGGTTCAACACTGATTGAATACTTTTGCAGTGTGCTTCTGTCAATCGAGTGCATCTGTAGCATAATTAGTTTGGTTTTGTGATGAAAGCTTGTTTTGTGCAAGAGTGCTTTGTTCCAGGGGTGTACTCATAAGTGGGGGCCATCACGTGCATCTTTAGTCAAGACTGACAGTCAAAGCACTAGCACCATTTAAACTGTGGTGTTTGGTTGCGTCATGCTTGAAGTAAAAGGGCAGGAAAGGCTCCAGTCAACATGTGTGCACCCCCGCCACCCTTCAAGGTTCGAAACAATTGTGGGCACATGCTTCACACAAAGCAGAGTCCACCCCCAGCAGGCTTCAAATATACCAATGGCAAAATGCTTGTAACATTTTGATTAACTCTTTCGCTACCGCAGGAAAATGAACTTTTTTTTACTACAGGTTAAAAACATTTTTTTTTTTGTTTTGTGGCTAGACACTGATGCCTTATTTACGTTCTTTGGCACGAAACTGCAGCTGAAGGAATGTTCTGTCTGATAACATAAATGTTGCATATATATTTATTACACAGATTAAGAAAAAAATTTTATAAAAATTTTATACAGTGATTATACAATTAACACTTTAAAAAGCGGACCACATAAAAATAATGAGGTTAAAAATAATTCAAGATATACAATTTGTAGCTTCTTATGTCACAAAAAAGTTGTACAAGTTCAAAAAAGTGTTGCCATAAAATGTTCTTTCCACAAAAAAGAAAGTGAGGGCGCTGCTCTAGATGGGTTATTCTGTGCAGCCTAGCATCACGGACGGGGTTTGTCTCCTCAGAGTTCATGACACTTATAAAAGCAAGGAACGAGAAAAAAAAACAGCATCTGGGCATAATCTTTACAGGAATAAGGCCTTGAAATAACTGAGGTATTTGAGTAGAGATGAAGGCGAGGCAACTGAACAATTCACATGTAGATGAGCATTCTAATGCACTTGATCGGGACTGTAGTTTTTCTACGAACAGTCTTTTTCCGCGTATGTTTGCCTGTCTAAATTATGCATCCACACATATTTGTTGGTGTAGTCGCACATCATGCTGGTCAGCTGTGCAGTGAAAAACAGCTGGATGAAATCGATGACCTGGAAGAAGCGCCGTGAGTTACTTTGGAGTGCGCCTCCGACTTCGACCCCCATGTTTCTTCTCGAAAGACACTGGACACGCTTGACAGATTCCTGCCAAGAATCATGTTCGTAGAACGTTGAGACCCTCAAAATGAGTAAAACTGCTGTGAGTACATGCTCTGCCCCCCGTAACTACTAATTAGACAATAAAATGTGTGCCACACATACAGCGGACCCTCACTTTCCCGATCTTGCGACTTGACTTGGCACATCCTCGTCATCAGTGCTGAAATTTGTTGCCTCACCATCTTCTCCAGGCTCACTGCTGCTGATTTCATCCTCGAAATGTGCTGTTGATGCGCTCAATTCGTGAGGAACGTGTCGTTTTTTAGGGACGTTCACACAGGAAGATGACTCCGCAAATCGGGGGGCTCGCGCAACAACCCGAAACTGGTTCAGGCTGAGTCCACAAAAGAGCACATGTGTATTTTTTTTCTAGAAAGAGAGGCTTCCATGCTCACTTCGAAATTAAGTTGCTTGGCCAGCGGTTACCTGCAGTGGCAGAACATAAATTTCTAGGCCTTATTCTGGACTCTAAAACTCGCCTTTATATCACCCATCAAATATATTAAAAACAAGTGTATAAGAACAATGAATATTCTAAAAGTCCTTACATGCACTTCGTAAGGGAGTGACAGAAAATGCTCAATTAATCTGTATAAAAGCCTCATATGCGCGCGCCTGGATAATGGAGCGATAATCTACCAGTCTGCAACATTAAGGGCTTTGAAGATGCTTGACCCTTTTCATCATTTGTGAATTCATCTTTGTACAGGTGCTTTTCACACTAGCCCTGTGGAAAGCTTGTACGTTGAATCTGACAAGTAGTCGCTACACCTGCAAAGATCATGTCGTTTCAATATCATCTCAAAGTTGACACAGATGAGGAACACCCCTCCGATTCCACAGTCAATGATCTGTCAAGTACTGCGCTGTTCAAAAGCCCTCCTTCGTTTTGACAGCCCTATGCTCGCTTCGTGTGGGGTGTCTAGCCGAGGAGACGCGCTGGCCGCTTAAGCACCATTTGATGGCTTCCGGGGCATACCTGCTGTCGTGGCAGTGGCAGACTATAATTGCGATGTGTCTTCTTTAGAAGTTATGAAGCACACGCCCATTGCAGATATCCACACACACTTTCTGGAACTGCAGCATAAATGCACACGTCTTGAGTTCTTCACAGATGTCGCTAAGTTTAATACTTCTGTGTCCTATGCTGCTGTTGGCCCATTCTTTTCGGAAGCTGGCGTTATGCATCCTAGTACGAGTATCTTCACTGCAGAAGCATTTATTATACTTGCGGCCATTAAACATAGTGAAGAAATAAAGCTACCGAAGGCAGTAATTTACACAGATTCCTTAAGCGTGGTGAAAGCTCCGTAAACTCTGAAAATTTAAAACACAAGAACCCCATACTTGTCTCGCTTTATTGACTCTTATGCGCAGTCTACAAGTCCAAGCAGCATGGTGTAGTGTGCTGGGTGCCAGGACAATGCGAGATCCAATGTAACATGATGGCGGACCAGCTAGCCACATCTGCCCAGGAAAGCGCTGCCAATATATCCGTAGCTGTCCCTGCTCTTGACCTAAAACCATATATTAAACGAAAGCTCAGAGCTTATTGGCAGAGCACATGGGATAATCCAGAGTGTCTACCAACTTGGAAAACCTGGAAAAGTCAGCGAATTGGGACCCTTTTGCGGGATCGTCACAAAAATAAGCATTACCATTGATTGATTAAAAAGTCTCTCTCTCAGCTTCAACTACAGTGAGCTGCTAGAAGGCGTGTGAATAGAAAAAAAGACTGCATAACACTTGCTTCTTAGTGTAAACGCGAAAGGATACACCGACCCATAAAACACAAAGTTTACTGATGTTTCATTACCCGATATTCGAAGGAGCCTTGTTTACAATAAAAAGCATAAGAAAGGCATAGTGTACTTAAGTACGCCTAAATACGTAACGTAAGCAGTGCGATTACATTGTCAGAAGTGTCCCATCACTCCTGTTCAGCGTATGTACAGTCGTCTGTATCTGGATTCCAGGTGCAGGCATGATGCAAGCTTCTCAAAAATGCGGAGCATTTTATAGTCGCACCTATTTGCAAATCTGGCATCGGCGGTGGTGTCTGCACCCCTACTGCACATGCTCACGTCTCGTGCCAACTGTCGCTCCCCCTACTCTTTCTCCTTGCAAGGCCAATGCAGACAGCGTCTGCTAGTAAAAACCGACTGCTGGAGCTGCACAACCGTTCACTGACCACTTCGTATATGAATGTAGGCACTAGATTGGGCGTTTGGAATTCAGTAAAGGGTGTCATTACTTGGCTTTCACTTGACTTGACACTTGGCATGACTTGAGTAGGTGCGATAAAGGCAACAGTACCTTCAACTAGTACTAGTGGGGCACAATCTAACAGTGTCCCACCACTCGTTGAAAGCAAGGCTTCTTCTTTATTCGATAAATACGAATAATGAAGACAAAATAGCAATTAAACATTTGTAAATCTTACCCAATTATGCGATATTCATGCCTGCCATACCCCCACAACTTCGTGACGAATTTACACATTTAATCAACTCACCCCCCCCCCCCTCACGGTGGGAAGGTACAGGTTTTTTCTTTGTCCAGAATGCACGAGTTTTACAAGTCGTTGTGGTGTCTGTGGATTCCGCATCTTCAGCGAGGGCAGTCGAGACCACATGTCGTTAGATGGCATCATATTTGTGTTGTTTAAAAACAACACAAATATGAAATCTTGAAATCGCTAGTTTCGCTTTCCTTGAAATCGCCAGTTTTACCGATGTACTGGTTGTCACACTTGTGGCAGACCATAGGCATAAACAAGACCAAGGCAATTTCTGCTCAGCCCTTGTCCTTCACATTGGCTAAACCATTCCTTAGTTTCCATGTTGGTACATCCACTAATTTGATGTCTGTTGCTTTTACATATCACATGGCAAATCTGACTTTTGAACCACAACTTTACTCTCGTCTCTAAATTTATGTATGTTTGTCTACGCCACAATTTCGGCTCGGCTTTAAGGCCGTCTGGTTTGTATAGGCTAAAACTGCCATCAGCAGAAGCTTGCCGGGCTACTCATGTCTATCATTATTATAATTATCATTGGTGATACAGCAAACATCCTCAGCTACACACTTATTGCTGGTAGCTGGTGCTTCAAGGGTAGCACAAAAGTACCACTTAAGCTAAATTTTTCTTTTCTGTTTCGTGAGATTGTGTAAATAAATGTGCAATTATTTTTCAGCATCACGTCCACAGCAGAGTATGTAAATCTAGGTTACGTGCCGACATTTGTAATTCATCTGTAGAATCAAGGAAGCTGTTGCACCTTGAGAGATTCCTTCTTGCCACCACGTATTCAAACGT